TGTATTTCAGTCCACGTTGGCCAAGCCGGAGTTCAGATTGGAAACGCTTGTTGGGAGTTGTACTGCCTGGAGCATGGAATTCAGCCTGATGGCCAAATGCCGAGCGACAAAACTATCGGCGGAGGAGACGATTCCTTTAACACGTTTTTCAGCGAGACTGGAGCAGGAAAACACGTTCCTCGCGCTGTGTTCGTTGATTTAGAACCAACAGTTGTCGGTGAGAACTGCTTAGTACAACTCCCTTTTTGTTATGCAATCACTTATTTTAAATCTTTGAATGAAAACATTCAGGGCTTGTCAAAGTTTGGCGTTGCCCGTCGACTTGGCTCCCTCCCTTTCGTTCTTCAGTTTTTCCCGGCAATCAAATTAATAATGAATTGACTTCAACGAAAACATAATAATATTCATGCTAGGTCTGTTGATATGTCTTGAAATTAACATTCGACATTTTTCAGGTTTTTATTTGTAATTAAAAAAATGTAAGACTCGAAGAATTTTTCTTGACAAGGAATATATTTGATTTCATCAGATGAAGTTCGCACTGGCACATACCGGCAGCTGTTTCACCCAGAACAATTAATATCTGGCAAAGAGGATGCCGCTAACAACTATGCTCGCGGGCACTACACTGTTGGGAAGGAAATGATTGATCTTGTTTTGGACAAAATGAGGAAGTTGGTAAGTGCGCATGTCATCTGAAACTTGAATTTAACCCAGTCAGAACTCGAAAAAGAGTGTTACCCGCGGTGGAAAGCGCGGGAAGAAAGATCATTGTTTAAGAAATAGGAAAAGTGTACCGTGTTTCTATTTAGTTTTAGTTTAAATATACTAGCGTTCTATCATGAATGCCATTCGCTGATTGGCTACGCTACTCACTATCTATTTTGTTATAGATTGTGAGTAGCGTAGCAGTGCGCGCTTGTTAACCAACTGACGGCCGCTTCTTGGCGTTTTCAAGTTGTCTGTGAAGAGGATATAGATAAAGTTTTGAACGACCAGTAGATTTATACTAAAACAACTGGATTTCTATGCGTGATAGTTCACCACTAAATTTTCTTCGATTCTTATTGGTTTAAATTGATCACGTGACGCGATAGTGTTCGTCCGCGGAGAGACATTATCACCCCATAGTGCCCGTCCGAGGAAAATACCCGGATGGATAGTACTCGTCCGTGAAACTTTTTTCTGTAAACAAGCGGGCTTATAGAAAATAAGCAATTGAAATTGTATTGTGGGGTTTTGTCGTTTTTTTTCTCAAATTTTACATTTGGCTTTCACGGCTTTCATCTAAAAAGTTGAAAATAATTCAATATGATTTTTGAACTAGAGCGCGGAAGAAAATTTAGTGGTAAACAATAAAGACAATAGAGTGTTTATGTCTCGGAACTATCGGTCTGACAGTTGCACCTTGAAAATTTTATGTTCTTAAAACTAAAATATTTGCCCCGAAGCTTCCAGGGCAAATATTTGTTCAAGTTTAAGAACATCAAATTTGCGCGGGGCAACTATCAGCCGATAGTTCCTCGACAGAAAAACTCTATTAAATTGTTTAAATCAAAATCGAGGGCGAATGATCTAATTGTTTAATAGAAATACGATTTTAAACCAATCAGCACGCGTATTTTCCTTGGGCTATTTTTTAATTTAAAATATTACTGGTTTCAACCATTAGTGAAACTCGGTAGCTAATTGAAATAAAAATATAAGTAGGGATCAGGGAAAATACGCTCCAGGTTGTTATTCTGGCAAAACGTGCGGCTTATATTTTTTTTGTATGCATTTAAGGCTGATCAATGCACCGGTTTGCAAGGTTTTCTCATCTTCCATTCCTTTGG